AGCTCACAGAGATCCTGCAGGCCTGTCTGATGGGACTGTGGCCGCTGCCGAAACGGCACCAGGGCTCTGCACCGTGCGCTGCAGATGAGCGCATGGCCCGGGCAGCACCCAGGAGCGCACAGCCTGGGCCGGCTCCGCAGTGCTGCCAGCCCCGAGGTGCTGCCCGCACCACGGCTGCAGCCACAGACCGGCCTGCGAGGGCACCCAGCCGGGCACGGGCAGCGAGCAGGGCTGCGCACCAACYAGCTCCAGCCCGCCACGAGCCTGCGCACCCACGCTCCGCACCACGAGCTCGCCACRCCAGGCCGGAGCGGGGCCCGGCCCCGCGCCTCCTCGTTGGCATCTTGGAYAGGTTCCACTTCCACAGCCCTGCACCAAAACGAGACCATCCCAATGTAACACTGCAGAACGGCTCTATTCCACTATGAAATTGCTGAAAGTCCCCGTTTGAGGATGTTATCACAGGGTTAACACCCACGATGGCTCCAGATAACACAGCAGCGATAAAAGGCAACGCGCACGATGGAACATGATTTGTTTTTGCTGAGCAGGTTTGGCCCCTATAAATCTCAGCACTCTAACRTGTAAAGTTGTTATTCCAGTGACAAAATAGACATGAGGGACATAACAGTCTTTACCTCCATTAACATTTATTGTTATTCAGAGAATAGGGATAGGGACTGATCCGAGGGTAGGAAAAATCTCAGCAATTTGTTTGCATACTCGGGAGCTGAGCTCATGCTCGTATTTCATGGCTGCACTGGGGAATCAACTGAAATGCAGCGCAGAAAGATCAAAACGGGAGATTAGCTAGCTATTTTGGTTTCGGGTTTCTATTTTGGTGACCTGTCCACTTGGAGGACCTGCTCCGGCACTAGGAGGGATGGATCCGYGGCGCATTACCAGGGAGCTGCCGGGCTGCACTGGCCGGAGGCTGCCGCGTGGTGCGGGCACAGGAAATGTGAGACCGGGACAGATCTTTCCAGACACGCTGGGAACGATCCCAGCTCGCTCCTACATCCAGAGCCAGATTCAGTCCCGAAACAGCAAGATCCACCATAACAGCCTCCAACTCCAGCCTCTCTTCCAAGGCTCCAGCCTGTCGTCCAAGGGACATGCTGCGCCTCCAACATCCTATGAAATGAGGCGAGCAGAAGCACTAACATGGGAGCTCCAGAAGCCAAAGACTGAACAAAACGAAGGAAAAAAACGAGGCTGCAAAGCAAGAACCCAAAGGATACCTAAAACTCCAAGGTTTCTAAGCCCATGTTGTGGCTTTGGGAGTCCCGGCCCATGGCTGGAACCCATGGCCCAGCAGAGGGTCCAGCTCTCACCTATCAACATCAAAAGAGTTTGGGAAAAGCRGGAAGTAAACATGGGAAGCACCGAGGGCTGCACTGCTCATGGGAATTGTGCTGCATATGGAAAAGCCTCAACAAAAACGGACTGGTGCTCCCTGCCCTGCGCCCTGCGCCGCTCGTCCGGCCGCCTCGGCACCAAGGGGTGGCAGCAGCAGGCGGAGTGAGGAGCGGGGCGCATCCCCGGCCCCAAAAGGATGGACGGCCCTGGGGGACACGGCGGCTCCCGAGGGATGTGTCCTGCACCGTGTGGGACGTGCGGGACCCACTCCACATGTCAGCACCGCCAGGACCGCAGGAGCAGGTTTCAACCTGCCAGATCAGCATCCTCCGCATCAACACCTCCATGTGCCCACGCCGCCCCGTTGTCCCACACACCTCCAGGCGCTGCTCCGCGGGCCTCACACACCTCTGTGCTCTTGCAGGTCTCTCTCACCTCCATGGTCTCACCTCTGTGCACTGCCCTGTGGCCTCTCACACCTCCGTGTGCCGCTCCACGGCTCTCACACCTCCGCAGAGGCCATGGCCRGCCGAGCAGCGGGGCTCCCACTCTCCGAGTGCTCCGGCCATGGATCTCTATGCTCRCAGCGAGCTGGCCAAGCCCCCGGAGCGGTGCATGCGGCCGGGGCAGCTCATGGCTACCTGGTCTGCAGGACGTTGGCCACGGGGCCCCAAGGCCACCCTCCCGGAGCAGCACTATTCGGGAGGAGGTGACAGACCCCGGAGCGCCCCTCGCCCTGCAGCGATGGCAGGAGCGCGAGCACATGGGCAAGGCCGCGCGGCGGAGTGGAGTGCACTGCCCGGCGCCCTCTCTCCGGCACACGTGAGGCACACACGGAGAGCACTCGTGCACGGCCTTTCCACTGACACCACCCCATCCTCCCCGTGCATCCTTCCCCCGCCAGGGGCRCCCCTGGTCCAGCAGGGCCCAGCGGCTCCCTTCCCTGCTCCAGCCATCCTCGTAATCCYGGATTATGGAGGCCCGAGGCACGTCTCCTCTCTCTTTAATCCAGGGATTAAAGTATCCGCGGGGCTGTGACGCAGAGCGCCATGGGYGGCAGCGCGGCCCTGCTCCGGGCCTGCAGGAAGGGAGACGCGTCCGCAGCTCCCGACCAGGCCCCGGCGCCTGCGGCCACGGCAAACGGATGTCCAGACACCGCAAACACATGAAGAAACGGCACACAGCAAGGCAGCACGCTCTGCAATCAAAGTGCCTGTGCATTAAACAACAACTTCAMGGAGGCTCCTGGATTACTTAAATCCCAATCCAGATCATCCTCAAASAGTAATGCCCATCCTTCGGCACAATAAAAATAGCTGAGCACAAGCCCAGGACAGGCAGCGGCAAGGCTTTTAAGACAGGAAAACAGAAAAATTAGAATAAATAAATGAGTGCTGCTGCCCAGCTGCAGGAAGCCCTCAGTGAACAGACACTGCTTGCTCAAAGAGTTACATTCAAAAGTCTCAGATGGTCCCACTTTCCATCAGCAYCCCAGCAGGACGGGGCATGGACAGGGCTTTCCGCAGCAGACCGGCCCAGGGGAGTGTCGTTGAGGCTCTTCACGCGAGACCGCCTCTGCGCGAGGCCCTCGCGCGGTTTCAAAGTTTTCATCTTCTGAACAGCCTTTGGGAGGACTCCTAGTAGAAGACAGGCTACCGCGCAGATCATTTCAGGTGAACGCAGCTTTCCCAAGGGGACACGCGAAGTCAGCGACCGGCTGTGCTTGTCCTGCGCTGCACGAGGAGCTCTGCGCTCCTGAAGTGCGACCGGCCGCCTGCCCAACGTCCACATGGGGGGCGGCACGTCCCGAGCTGCCCCCGCGGGACAGCAGCTCCCCCGGCACGCAGCCACCCAACACCCCGTGCCGCCAGCCGGCGCAGAGCCGTCCCACTGCCGCCCCGCGCGCGCTCTGGCCATTTCCTCGCCACACAGGGATCACAGCACCGTGCAGGGCTCCTCTGCGCGCTGCGTGCTCGGCTGCGCTTGCCCTGGCCCTCAGGTTGAGGCCTCTCCAGCTCCCCACATCCCGATTCCTTGTCCTTCCAGCCAGGGGGACAGGGCTCCGCAGCTCACTGTGATGTGCCGACATCCCATGCTCTGTKTTGGCTGCCACAGACACTTTCTGTAGCACAGCGACGGCAAATGCACCTTCAAYGGACTGCAGGAAAAGTCTGTGCAAGCTGGGTGGTCTGGAAATAGGGTCTCGCACCCATGCTGGCCATGTCACCCTCTGGAAGCTCTGCTGACACCCACATAGCCCAGCAGGGACACCCCTGCAGCCCATCCTGCCGGGTAGAGGCAGCCACATGTCCGGACACAGCCACCACGGGTGGACAGCAGCTGCACGCAGAGCACGGGCAGCACAGGGATTAGGAGATGGGCAGGACAGACAGAGGCTGTGGCTCCTGCCCGGCTGCCATGCGGTCATGAGCTGCATGCACAGCACGAGCTGGCACAGGCTCCTTTTCGGTAGTCTGCCAGGTCCCCAGCTTCCCATTGCTGCTATATGTAGGTTTTTCCGCTACAGAAACCCCCTTGAGCAGTGTGTGGGGATCACAGCAGCCCCAGCCTCATGCYGCGTGCCCTCCTTCTCCACAAGGAAGGCCCCAAAGGTGCCGTGGGGATGCCTGGGCCGGCTGCTGCACGGGGCTGGGAACGCCGGCTCTCGGCAGGGGCCGGGTTGGTCCCCTGCTTTGGGGCAGCAGCAGCTCCCGAAGCAGGGAGCTCCCGGGGCGGCCRCAGCGTCACGCACGGCGGTCGCTCACCTGCACAGTGAACGCAGCCCCCGTGGCYGCGCCGCCCTCGCACGGGATCCACGCTCCAGCGTGACGCTGCGTGCGCTGCAGCTCCCCCCCGGCAGCACCCATGGAGCCCCTTCGTGCAGGGGCGCGTACAAAACAGCCCTGGGACACTGCTTAATTCTACTTAATTACACGGGTGTTTATCGTATTTCCTAGCATTACAGCAATAATTACAGCCCCAGACTGCCCACGGATGCCAGTGATGCCATCACAGGGCAAGCAGGCGCGTTTGGGAGCTGCAGCCCCTCCAGCAGCGCCGCGCGGCGCCACGAGCTCCGGGCCGCAAGGCATCCCCAGCAACAGCGGCTGCGGCCGCAGCAGGGCCTGGGATCGCAGCGGCCACTGGCCCCGCRCTGCAGACCTGCCAGAGCCGCACGGAGCCGCGAACGCGCTGAGCCGGGGACGCCGGCCAAGTCCAGATGAGCCCCGCAGAGCCGCAGGGAGAGGCCACCTCGTGCTCGGGATGGATGTGGCCCCAACCTCCCGCTCCCCCGTGGGATCATCCACGCCGCACTGGGAGCTGAGGAGGCTGCGGTGCCTCCGGCAGCATGGGAATTAGAGGGACGAGCCGGCTGGCAATGCGGCACGGCCACCTCGAGTGCCGCAGATTCCCAGTTCCTCAGCTCGTGCACAGCTGCAGGAGTACAAGCCGGCTTTAATTCCGGCTGCTCCCGCATCYGCAGAGGGACAGCGCGGCCCAGAATCGGGCGTGCTCCCGAGCATCCAAGATGTCAGAGGCGCTCGGAGTGCGGAGCCGGGGGGATCCCGGCCGGGGAAGCAGCGCTGGGCTCGGCCGTGCTGAGTCACGGCCCGGGCGCGGCGGGGCCGGGGGACACTCACCCTCGGTCGCATAGCTGTGGTCGCGCAGGAAGCTGCTGTTGATCTTGCGGGTCTCAACGTCCTCCTCCATTGAGGGCGGGCAGGCGGGCGCGGGGCGTCAGCAGCCGCAGCCGCGGATCCATCATCCCCCCCCGCGCGCTGCTCCGCGGCGGCGGCCGCCAAATGCGCCGGGCGGGCGGGGGGCGCGGGGGCGGCGGRGCCGCTGGCTCCTCCCACAGGGCGCGGAGCGGCGCGGAGCAGCGCGCGGGGCCGCCCCGCTGCGCCCGCCCCGTCGGGGCAGGGCACGGGCGGCGGGCGGGGCGCCACGCGGAGCGGGCGCGGGGACGCGGCTGCCCTGGGGATGCGGCTGCCCTCGGGATGCTCCCGTCTTGGGGATGATGCTGTCCTAGGGATGCTGCTGCCCTCGGGACGCAGCTGCTTTGGGGACACAGCTGCCCTCGGGATGCTCCTGCCCCAGGGATGCTGCCCTCAGGAGATGCACCTAGTCCTCAGCCTGCACAGCCCAAACACAAAGCAGAGCCAGCAGCACCTCTTGCAGGGAGCTGCAGCAGACCCATTCCCAGGCGGAGTTCCCTGACACCCCACAGCACTGCACATCCCTCTCCCAGCACTGGTGGGGCAGGAGCTTAGCCCATGCAGGAGGACACCCCGACACCACAGCACACATCCGACCAGCACCACTGCACCCAGACCRAAGCGCAGCGCTGCATGGCTCAGCGAGGGCCACAGGCCATGGGGCAAAGCGGTGCTCAGCGCACACCTCTCCCCACAGCGCCTGGCTCCGCGAGCCCACGGACCGGGGTCACGTCTGGGACAGGGAAAGGCGGCACCGGGCGGATGCAGCTGCCTCCTGCTGCAACCTGCAGCTCCCAGCACCCCGGGACAGTGGAGCGTGGGAGCGGAGCTGCTACGGAGCCAGGCAGCCGCAGCCTCCTCACGACCTGGAGGGGTCCCCCTGGTCCTCCTGCCCAGCAAGATCTCGGCCCCCGCATCTCCACTCTGACAGACTTCTCGCCATTCTCCATGAGTTACAGCGACGCATTCCAACATCCTGCAAGGTTTCCAACATCCCCTCATTTAATACATCCACCAGCCACCTGCTTGCTATGCCTTCTGCACAGGAGCACCAAATCCATTTATTCCCAGCTTTTTAAAGCCCAGGAAGAAGCCTCTGCAGCAACTAAAAGCATTAGCCATCCTAAGCAGGAGCCATTTGCAGATTGAATTCACCAAAGGTCACTTGTCACCCTCACTGCTCCCATCCCAGGTGCCCGGCGGATCATGAGGAATTGGAGCACTTTCTGTGCTCATGGTCTCTGCTCCAATCGGAGCAGGATCAGAAGCTCCAAGCACAGGTTTCCTGGGAAGAAAAGTGTCAGGTTGATAATTGAACCAAACCTTGGATTTTAGCCTCAGCACAAAACCTGTACAAAAAGCTTCCTTCAGCTAATTTATTTTTACCTCCATCTCCATGAGCACTAAATACATTTCCTACTTACAGATACAAGGTAGAATACTAGCTTTCTTTTTAAAAGCTGTTAATGCACCATTAGATATGCAAATTTCTCTTAAACATGCAAGAGTTGATCCTACTGATCAATTTTACTCATGCCACATCTATACTATTCCATTTAGCGCCCTGTCTGTGTTTACAACCTCCCCATCCGCCASGGAGCAGCAGAGGGTGCAGGGGAGGGGGTGGCAGGACAGGCCCCGTCCCACATGGTCCCGGGGCCGCTCCACGTGCCCGCTCCGTCATGGAAGGGTGACAGGACGGGYAGCGTGGCCGGGGAGACATTCACGGTGTGAACGGGCTGCTGCGCCCGCCGCRGCCTCTGCAGCTCCGCACATCGCCCTTCTGCTGTCGCCGCGTGCAAGGTTCGTGTCGGAAGCCGCTTTTCTAGAGTCAGACTTTCTCTGTGCTGATCAAATCTTTCCTCTCGAGGCAACAGGCACCGCAGCTGCAGACGCAAGGAAGCGCCCCCGGGATCCGGGCTGCCTTCGCGCTGAGCGGAACTCGCCACCGCACCGTGGGTCCCCACACTGTAACTGCGAGCCCATTGCAGGACACAGCACCCGAGAAACGGGCTGAGACACAGGGCACTCCAGGAGGATCCAGGACTTCCGTATCCTTTATGGGATACAGTGGGAACTGTCACATGTTCCTTRCATCAGAGACATAATTGGCTTAAATACTTACATGGTAGATAGGATTTGCTGTTTGTAAAGATTAAGGCCACATGTTATAGCATCAGTGCATTAGAACCAGCTGAGCAAAGCTTATGCTAAGGAGTTAGTTTTTGCTTGAAAAYAGCTCTTCCGAGTGGCACCGCAAGTGAAGCCTTTTGTTTTCATTACTGCATTTAATTCTGTTTTTCTAATGAAGGGCACCGGCAGCGACAGCGCGTTGGTCTGAACCCGGCCCCACCAGCCCTTGTGAGACAGAGCACAGCAGCGCAGCAGCTCTCTGAGCAGGGGCAGCTCTGCAGCCCTCGCACCYTCCCAGCCGCGCACTGCAGCGGGATGGCACGGGGAGCATGCAGGACAACACGGGCACATCGTGCATGAGACGACCGCGACGCGGCATCGGAGGCTCAATAGCTAAGCACAGGTCTGGGGTTGGAAAAATAAAGGCAATRTTTATTTTTTTGGTTTTCCCTGTTGATTTATTTCCAGTTGATGAGAAAAATCACTATATCAAAAAGTGACCCAATTCCCCAAATGCTGGATATTATATTAGGTCATAACGCAGGAGGCGAACATGTGAATTTACATGTGCATTTGAGTGGAACAAATGCTGTAAAATCACACTCAAGCTCATCTGCTTATGCTCCAAAGGGCGGCACGTTTCAGCCACGCGTGCACCCTGCTCCTCTGCTGCTCCCTCGGCCCCAACGCRCGGGCCGGGTTTCCCAGCCCCGCGGGGCAGCGGCTGCGGCTGGTACACGAGGACTGCCCGCCCAGGAGCATCCTTGCCTGCCACCCTTCTCCCTGCTTGGAAAACTGTGGCAGGCACCTGTTGTTAAAACATTCATGTAGTGAATACTTGGGTTACGTCAGGTCTGGAAATGCAAAATTTCGCACGACCTCAAAGCTGTATTTTCTTTGAAATAATGCACCCTAACACAAGACACCAAAACAGCTGTGCAGTTTTGAATTGCAGATCCTAAAACACAGTTCCTGCACTGTTTTAATTTAACTTGGCCAAGGACTACATCAAAAAGTAATGAATTACTGGCGTAAATCAAACTCAAGCTGCCTATGTCTTATAACATGGGAAACGTTACAACAACCAGTGCAAAATGCAGCACTAGGATCACTGCCTCATAAAAAGCATTCTGCTTATCCTCCAATATGAGGCAGCAGGAGAGGCGAGGAGATTCTCAGCCCCAGCCCTGCCCTCTTTGTAGAGCTGAACGCACAAAGCTAATCACTCAGCCAGGACTCATTTGCCACAGAAAATCACACCGCCAATCTAGTTGGGCAGAAAAACTAGGCCCCTGTTGGCATGAGTTCAAGAAAGCGTCACAGCCGTCGCAAGGACGAGCTTCCAAACCACCCTCAGGACAACACGGCAGGACCAGGGCTGCTCTGCAGCACCAGAGGCTGGAGATGAACCGGTGAAGGAGCACTCGCCGCTCGCATGTTGCAAGGCATTGAAACATCCCCAAGTCTTACAGACTGCTGCCAAGCTCAAGGAAAGAGCAAGTCAGGAAATAAAAGAAAAAACATAGGGACAGATCCACCATTTTCGTTCTGTGATGATAAACGTAACCATTATTTGCAGGAAACAAAACATGTGTAAAAATCCAATGACTTGGAATCACTTATTGTTTGTGTGAGGTGATACATACAAATACAAACAACTGCTGGAAATGACTGGCTTGGGTAATGGGGCTCACATGGACACCTCTAATAGCAACAGAGCTGCACACAGACCACAGACTATTTTATACCATTAAAACGTGCTACTGAATACCATCCAGAGTCACTGCAACGGCATGCACTACAAATACACTTCCTATTACAAACTGGGAGCTTTATACCTTGCAGCGTAGTTTTCCCAATATTACACCTTTTAATAYACAAACTTTGCATTCCACAGCAAACTGACTTGCCAGGAAAAACCTGGTCCAGGAAAGACCTCCCAGGTCCTGAGCACCCACGGATCTACCTTTCACACTGCAACTCCGCGGTGTCCCACGGGATGCTGCTGCCTTCCGCAGGGCCCTCTCCCCATCCGCGTGCCCGAGTGTCGCTCGCTCGCACAGTTGGCTCCAGCCGYGCAGAACCGGTGCCACGGGGGCTGCGGAGCCGGCTGCCTTCAGTGCCAAAAGGGACGTGGTGGGTGGAACACCTGGGGCAATGCTGGAAGCTGGATCACACAGACAGCTCGTGGCAGCAGCCTGCAAGTGACTATCCACTTCTCAATTATTTCATGTGGTGCCACTGTCTCCTCCTCAGCAGGAGCAGGGACAGAGCACGACGCAGCCTGCCCCGCTCCTGGCCGCGTCACACCCAGCGCCCGAATGCAGAGACCACAGTGACCCTGGGGGAAAGGCGGCCCCTTGGACACCCTCACTTGCTGCTTCCCAGCCCGGCTCCCACCTCGGCAGCTCCCACGCGGCTCTGTCGCTGCTCACAGAAGTGCCCTTCCCACACGGCGACAGGCTTCACACTTCTGCACCCGATTTTACTCCTGGCAATGTCCAGGATGAATGTGGGGAGGTAAATGTGAGACTGTGTAYGAGACGGGCATGGCAAACACAGAGCGCCCGCGACACCGGCCAGGTTCACGTTCTTACCGCACCAGGGAGACGAGCCTTCCGCAAGGCACAAAACCGGGCGCTGCTGTGAGAGAAGGATTACGAGGAATATCCTAGGGGGRAAACACCCTGCGGGGCCAAGAAGGTTACATCATTTCTCAAAACGCTAATGTTATAAAACTACTCTTTGTATATCGCTAATGTGTATATATAAACTGCCTCATGCCACTTAGAAAAACCAAGCCAGAAAATTAATAAAAGATATCATGCCTTATTAATGTTCATACAGTCATTACCAATACTACAGATTCATCTGCTAAGCAGTCAGTAAACAAGACAAACGTCTGCATCCTGTTAAAGGGATCATGGAAGGGCCTCCGGGAAGGAAACCCGAGCGCCCCAAGTCTGGTGGCTCCGGAG